AATATTTCACTATTATTATTATAAAAATACTATATGCGCAGGTATTGTAAAGAACGGTCTCACCACTACAATGAAACCAGTGTGCACTTGGCGATATATCTGTGAAAATCCTTTGAACTTAGATACCTGCAAATTACACACGTCGTGCCTCGATGATAGCAACAATACACCTAAAATAGACAGTGAGCTTATTTATATATATCATCTTGAACTAAATGTTATTAGTATCATCTTGTTATTTGCGTGTTTCCTCGATTTTTCCATAGCTGGACATATTAGGTCTCTTTAAAAACGCTGCGCTCGAAAAAAAATGACGGCATTGTCACTTGAAATAGAAATTAGAAATTAGAAAATGTTTAGATACTCATTATTTTTCAAATGTGGGATTTAAGAGTGAAGATAATAGAGAATTGTAGTAAAATATCGAAGAAAATAACATATGTACTCAAAACATCTATTAATTTGAAATTAGTTATATCATAATCTAGTAATGAATCAGTATACTAGTACCTAATAAAAATTTAACAGATACATTCGTAGACTATGGAGAAAAAAAGAAATTAGATGAAGAAAACAAGTTAAATATGCGATTCCGGAAAATGTGTAAGTTTGTGGTACCTATATTTTTCGTTTAGTTAATTACTGTTATATATATATTATAGGTATTCTGTTTTACAGTTTAGTTTAATTGAATTTTTTATAGTTGAGTTTAGTTAATTACTGTTATCTATTGTAATAATAAACTGTTATATATTTATATTCTGTTATATATAATTTTTTATTAACTCACGCTTTTAATATTACTTTTTTTAGTTGGCTTATCAATTTTGGACGAAGAAGTTGAAAAAATTAGTAAGTATTGAAAATAAATAACATTACTTAAGAAAGCTTTACAATTAATAATATCAAATTATTATTGTTTCCAGTTCAACACCACATTCTAATAACGCACCCAGAAAATAGCAGTAAGCAACCATTTTGGACGTATTCTTTTTACATCAATACATAGTACCTCTATAAAACAAAGTCGCTTTCGCTGTATGTCCGTATGTATGCTTAGATCTTTAAAACTACGCAACGGATTTTGATGCGGTTTTTTTAATAGATAGAGTGATTCTTAAGGAAGGTTTGTATGTATATACATATTGCACCCGTGCGAAGCTAGTTTCATATAAACTGATACATATTATGTAATTACTTGATCGAATTTCAAATAATTTCAGTGAACGCACCTATCCAGGATAGAATTGAATCTCTCGACGAGTATTTCACTAGAATTATTATGTATCAGAACAGTGAGTTTTTAATTGTTGTACTTGTTTAATCTAGCTTTATTGTCGTGTGTCGCGTATAATTTTATGTTGATATCATAGCGATTTTGTGGACATGTCAAGGTCATCCTTTATAACTTTCGACAATAGGGTAGTTTCCTAAATTTTATTTTAATGTCCGTCTGGTTTCATAAATTTAAAACTTTAGACAAGTATTTTTTCTTTTCTCACAAAATTAAATACTTTTGACGATATATAAATTTGTAATACCTTGTGACGTCACAGCGTGCCACATTTTGTAGCACATTGTTACGTAACGACCTCCCACTCTTACACTTAGCTCCATTTTATTTAAGTATTTCAATTGAATACATTTCAACAATATATTTCAAGAAAATAAAAAATACGAGTCTAATATTTTTTCATTATCTAACTGACGGACAAATTGGATTTTTAATTTTGATACCCTGGAAACTACCCAATTGGAAGAAATCTTATATATGCATCGAAGATTATTTATATAGTTCATGATAATTGAAAAAACAGATCAATTAAAAGTTTTTACGGTCAACAACATAAATTGTATTTATAATTTTTTCTTTTAGCGCAATTGTCAACCCCGAGACCCCTTTCAATAGACAATAATGATGAGGTAAATAGTGTAAACATGTAATAAGTATAGGCTAAGTATCTATATTGAGTAATTTTTACTATCCTCTTCTCCTCCCGCGGGTGTCGCGTCGAAAGCACCGAGTAAGGGACGTTTGATCAAAATCGGGCACTCTGGCGGTAGCTTACTCGGATAAACCTGAACCTTTTAAAATTTAAAAGGTTCAGGTGTTAAACCCGCCCGTAAATTTGGAGGTTTTGGCATTCTCTCTTATGCAGAGGAGGATTGTAGTCCGCTAGTCGACTGTCACAAGGTGGTGAAGACCAGTAACTGCATTAAGTATCTACAAACTAGAAACCAATTAATTTACTTAAATTGGACAAGTTTGTTACTGTTGCTGTTGTCAAAAAGTCAAAGTCAAAATCAATACTTTTTTCGAACTGTCAAAAACCAGAGTTTTCTTTAAATGTTGTACGAGATTGTGATTCACTTGTTTCATTTAAAAATTTGTTCGAAAAATGTTTTTTCTATATATATATTTTGTTGTGTTAAACAGTCGAAATAATTTTGTTTTTGATTAAGGCAAATACCCAATTAGGTATTTATAAAGAAGTCGTGATTCAATTACTGTATAAACTCAAGTTTTACACACACACAACATTTCTTAATTAATTTTATTTGTTTAGTCTTTGGATAAATACCTATTTAATCCATTTTGTACACTTGTACAGTTTTATTTCATGTGTGTATAAAATAAAATATATAAACATATATGTAGGTAAGTAAGTACGTACGACAGCTAAATATTTCTTATTTTTTTGTAGAACGACAGTTCTAGTGGAATTCAGCATAATGCGGCAGAAGATGAAGTGCGTATTGTGTGCTAAAAGTTTATAATTTAAATTTTTGTGCTAATTTATATCTAGGTCATTTAAGTAGGTCTAAACCAATTTTAAAAAGGTTTTACACGTTTAGTTACATATTTTAGAATAGTTGAACAACTTGTACCTAATGATTTGCAACAGATTTCAGTTACCTACATAATTAGGATTCATTATATTATTTTTAAAACTGCGTATATATATACTATAATTATTAATGTGTAAATAAAACTGTTATAATTTTTAGACTAATGGTGGTGGACTTTACCGGTGGAAAAAAGATGGGGTACCAAAAACTTTTCTTTATCTCTTTCTTTAATCTTCTTTCTTTAATTTTAAGTAAGCGTATTAACATACACTGCAAAATTATATATCCATTAAAAATTTGAATAAATAAAAAATAATCTCATTCATGACATATGAATAAAAACGAATAATATATAAATAAACCAGGATAGGTTCTCACCTATTCTGATTTATTTCGTTACGGCGCGCCAACGGGAACCAAAACAGTTATATATTTTCCATGTCCCGGAGACGCGGCGGACTTCATTGTTTCAGTTTTTCCATAATTGATATCTACTGAAGCTCCTAGTTCCTACTACGCTTGCCCATGTCCTGACATAATTATGTCCAAAAATGTGTACTATTTATATGAATATTCATAAAATCTAATATTAAATTCACTACGTACGTACGATCCTTTGCATCTCTTATGCTTACACTAATATTAAAAACTTATTTATTAATATGTAAAAACTGAATAGGTTAATAGTTTTTTTTCATATTTCAGGAGTTAAGAAGCGCAAACCATAAGCCAGTAAGCTAATATTATAATTAATTAATATATGCTTTTGTACGAGATTTCATCAGCTCGTAAAAATTACGTAGTCATATTTTATTTTACTTGTATAACTGGTAATTCCTAAAAAAAATATTACAATAATTTGAAATGTAATATTATTAAATGTTTCGTTCGATGTCTTGTGTCAGGCCAACAAAACGTCGGTTATTAAAGAAGAAGAAGAAGAAAAAAAGAGCATACTGAGGGCACCTGTCACCACTACTGCAAAACGTAATAATCGATTAAAATAAAACATTCTTCTATATAACTTTGCATTATTTGGCACCTGTACTCTGATCACTGGCTTCATTACTTTTTTTACATTTTGGATAAAGAAAAAGTAATTCTTTTATGTCTATGCAAGGCATAAATAAAAAAATCTAACCTTTCACTAAACAAAATATTTACCACGAAGGTCACGTTTAAAAATAAATAAATGTTGATATAGCGTGCACAAAATGTAATGAACTTTAGCTCAACTGTAGAAAACTTGTCAAAAGTCCATTGAACCGTCGGGACCCTAGAGGAGTTGGAAGAACAAGGAAAGTTTTAACGATTTTTGGAGATTATCAGAAAGAGAAATTAAAAAAATTGGTTGATAGAAAGAAACATTTCTTTTGATGAGATGTATTGTTTTATTTGTCGTACGATTACGTAACTAGTAAGAAGTAAGGTCAATAAAGAGAAGGTCACACGCGCGGGCGTCCACGTTCTCCACGATCTGTGTAGCATTTCTCTCAGAAGTCGGACAAGGCCGAGCTACAAGGGACGCTCCAGATGTCCCGGAAATCAATGACATCGCCCACAACTTCCGTTTACGCTGCTCAATACTACACCTTTATATTCCTCTATACAAACTTAGCTTTAAATGCCATGAGGTCACAGTTATAACAGCTGATCACAGCCCATGTTCATTAATCGACGTTAGTTTGACAGCGACTAATTAATTCTGTTCCTATTAATTTAATTAACTCATTAATTCTAGTGATATTTTGTAAGAATAATTATTGAATTATTCACATAAAACTTTTGTAACATTTTAAAGTAGGTAAAAGAAACTTATGCAGGGACTAAGTAGGTTTGAATCGCAAATAAGTTAGCCTTACCTAATACACATTTAGCATTCGCTTAATAAATTAGGCAATAGCTATGTTTAATTTGAGGCCGATATATAACGAGTTCATTACAAAAAATGGGAAAGCGATTGCTGTTAGCTCCTTTGAATTTCAAATGAATCCATATTTCTTTTAAGTTATAATGCTTGAAACAGAGTTAGATGATTTATACTCTTTGACGTAGTAGATATCATATAGATAAGCATTCAGTACCTACCCATATACATTTAATATCTTTTTTTTGATGGGAGAAAATCATTCAATGGCTTCTCCCGCCCGGTTGAGGCGAGAGGGAATATCAGACTCTTACTGACTAAAAACCACCTCGTTCCTACTTTCGCGCTTCGAAACGCACTTCGAGCCGGAGCCCCGGCAACCCGTAAGTCTTCCGCGGCTCCGTATATATATCTTTAATACCTTGTGATTTCTACCAGCAATTAATTGAAATAATTATAATAGTCGTGATGTTAGCATATTGCAGTCAGTGAAAGTCCAGTGCCATGGAATGGTATTGTTATGTCGTGACCTTTAGACTGACAAGCTTTGTGTGGGTGTTGCACCTAGTGCACGGTGACTTTCAAATGTCGATTTTGTTTAGTCAGTTAATAGATTGCTCTAAAAATAAATACGAAGTTTCTTTATAAACTTTAAAGGTAGATACACAGGCTCACTAAGGATTTAAGTAAACCGTTCTAATTTCACGCAGTTATTCAAACTTTACTTTTTAGTTTTACTTTAAAGTCACAAAGATGCATTTAGAATTCAGATCACTGAAGACTTACTCTGAAGCATGCATATGTATAATACTCACAGTTTGCTTTGCATGATATTATAACACTTCTAGATAACTGCACATCATGCATTTTAATCGCTTAACAAAACAAGAGTTTCTCTAAAGCTTGATTATGTAAATCATTATGTCTTGTCATTTAAAGTATGTTCAGATATCTGAGAGAAATCTAAGAATTTTTAGAAATGTTCTTATTTCAAGTGAACAATCAAAATTAAGATAATATTTGTCTCCGGCAACCCGTTAATTCTTAAGCGGCTCCGTAAGTACTAGTGCTATTCGATTACAATAATCGTTACAAATATGGAAAACAATCATCGGTTAACTTTGAAGATCTCACGTTCTCAGTTCTAGAAGTTTGTTTATTATACTTCTGTGAGAACAAAACACGTAGTAGGACTCTAATAAGCTTACAAGTAACAGTCGAAGAGGTACGTAGCTACGTTGTGTGAATATTTGAAAGGCTGACATTTCAATTTGAGTTTGTTACGCTCTGTTACCACGGTTGGTGGAACAGTGAGCGAGTTTTGATCGCTCTGAGCTTGCAACTGACGGCCACACTGCTCCTATGTCATCGCATACTAATGGCAATTTCTAGGTAAATGGAAATCCAATACTTTGACGTCGGACACTTTTTGATTGAATAGTTCAGCGGTTGAGTGAATAACTAGAGGTTAATTCAATTAATTGTGCTTGTTTACTATTTTGTTATGAATAAGGTTAAGGTTAATAAATTTAATAGTAAAAACCAACAAATATCTTGTTAATAGGGTAGATGCCTAATTTTTTATTTTAATGTCCGTCTGGTGTATTATAAATCTTTGGACGCGTATTTTTTATTTTCTAACAGAAACGAATACTTTCGACGATATATTGATTTGAAATGTTGCGTGACGTCACTTCTATGTACATTTTATACGTAGAAATGACGTTCTAGCTCCCACTTCTAAACTTTGATTCGTTTTATCTAAGTATTGTTTAAATATACAACAAAATAAAAAAAATACGTATCTAATATTTTTTCATTACCTAACTTACGAACTAATTATACTTTTAATTTTCATACACTGTCATCATCCCAATTAATCGTTCTCTATGGAAGTCAATTAATCGGCCAACGAAGCAGTTACCTACAGCAACAAAATGCGTCTATTTATATTCTCGATATATTATGTAATATTGCATTTATTACACCCATAATAGCCATAATTTTATGTTCGAGAAAACGGGACCACGGGCTAATTTCGAAGGATTGCGTAACAACCTATGTATGTTATACCTGTATTAAAAATATAATCCGACGTAAACGTTCAGTCGTACACACAAATCGCCTGTCCATTGTAAAAGTAAACGAGCCACCCGTTTAATTACACCTTTTATTCGCTTTTATATTATTTTTGTTTACATCCCCACGATACCCGAACGGCGAACAACCATTTACATTCAAAATTAATACAATATGATTTTCGTAAGAACTTTTAATTATACCATTTGCATTTCATATTTATTTTTCCACATACACACGTTCGTCAAATAAGAGAATTTAATTAATGATATGACCTAATTATTTTTTATACCAGAAACGTATCTACAACTACAATAATAAGTTTCAGATATTAATAGTAAGTCGATGATAAATGTAAAAATAAAAAGTGTGCTCGGAAATGGAAATGAAAATATATATTTTAAACAAAAGATTTTTTTGCAGTCACACATCGAAGCTGCGAACGTATCTGCTTTTCATTATTATATGTTTGTTTACTAATATGGAACCAATATACAGATAGACATACGTTTCATGTATTTAAATTTTGAAAATGAATTACCTAACCTTTGACATCTTCATATACCTCTAGAATATCACTTAACAACACAATTGGTACTAACACGAAAACTGTTTTAAATTGACTAAAATAATCAGAATGAATTTGAGAAATGATCTATTTTAATAGGTGTGCGGTGTGACAGGTGAGTACACCCAATTACATTTCGATCAGGACAGTGCCGGCGGCGCGTGCGGTCGCCCTAACCGGATTATTGGCCGGCGCGGCGGCAGCAGGGCCCGGCCTGCGCAGGCGGCCGGGGCCGTCGACCTGCCACCACCTCCCATTATAATTCGATACAGATTCATCAACAACTTAACAACGTTTACCCAGGCTTACCTCGCTTATATTACGTGGACACCTTTGACCACATCTTTTCCAATTAAGTTCAGAATAAGGTCACCGATATTGGAAAATGGACTTAAAAGTTATAAAACGATTAATGGTATGATAATTAAGTGCATTGTCTACGTTATTCGTCCGATCTACGTTATTGCTTTTGAACCCCACTCGAAAGGCTTACAAAGAGATGTAGAGAACTAAAAAGTAATTACATAACAACATTTCAAATGGTTGTTCCAGACACAAAGACTATATTGCCGTGATAGGCAATATCAGCAATCACCAGTTCACCACACTATATGGGCCACAAAGAAAAGCACGTAGAAAAAGCTCGGTGCTGTGTCGCAGTTTACACAAAAACGGACAAAAAATATTCCGCCGGTATGCAGCGAGCCAGAAACTGATACAACGTCGACAAACATTGAAATGTAATACTTCTACACATTTCATATTGATGAAAAATAAACACGAATATTGTTCAAGTGAACACCATGTTGTCCATGTTAAAAATACAATGCAATTGAAGTGTTTTTGTTTTTTTAATGAAATTTTTTCATTGTTATTAGGCTGTTAGTTCTGTTTCTATTTATAGGGCTGCGTATTGATTCATAGCCAACAACTTCAAAGATTCCAATGACCCAAATATGTCAGTATATTAAAAAGGTCGTAATCTGATTACATCGTTGATTCCCGGCCCGATTTCTTTCGTATTCACAAAACGTCTATTCAACTTCAATTCTTTTAGGGCTTCACCAACTTCATTATTTCGTAGGTAATTAATTTTATTTAAAAAGGTATTTTGAAAACATTCCTTACTTGTACATAACATAATTTTTATGTCGATAAATAGAAACATCAATCTATTAGTGGCTTATTTGGCTAAACTTTTTCAAACTATAACAATCAATGTGGGTACATAACTGTTCGTTATACAGCCAACTTGTGTTACACTACCTATTGCATCGAACAAAAGTATCGAAACAAATCAAATAGCAGGAGTTTGCTCTAGTAATAAAAAAGTTACACGACCTTAATTAAAAACTGAATCAGATAAAGCGCCCACTCTATTCAGCTGAACGTGGAAATTCCATTTGTCCATTATGAATAGCCATCTGACTATTTACTTAACCTGTTTCAGAGAGCGAGACAAAACCCACACTCATTCCACATTGATACTGCACCGACGGCGACACGAGCACAAAGGAAATAAATGACTGTCACTATAGGAAATAGAATTGACCTATCACATTGCAAACGACTTTTTTATCTTCCGTTCTGTATAACAGACTTTTTCTTTTTAAATTATTATTTGCACTTACTCCTAAGAGCGTGTTTCAATTACCTCCCTTGAAAGCATGCGAGGCAATCGCTTGGAAGTCGCATAAAGGGACACACCTTAGCGAAGTTACGCCACTTCTAAAATATTCAAATCTCGGGGGCGACTTTCCCCGCGCTCTAGTAAAATGCAAAACAAGAAAAGTTTCCCCCTAAATCAGCGGAGTCAGCAGAACGGCTCTCGTCTCGCGACAAACATACCCGGACTACAAACAAACTTTCATTTAGCTGCGGCGGTCGCGTTACTCAAATTTCTGCTAAAAGATGCTTTATTTTAGCGCAAGAATTTAACATTGTCGTCTCGTTAATTAGTGCGCCAAAACACTTTCTTGCCTTTCAATTTAATTTCTGTTGTCACAAAATAACCGACACGTCATGATGAGGCTGCCATTATTGATATTAAAATGCACTTATGAATAATTCATTCAGCAAAAGGCAGATCCCTGATCTACGTATACGTATGTATATGCAACCTATCAATGTGTATATGTTTACATTTGAGGATAAAACAGTGTAGGAATTTCACTCTCTGCTTTTCATTCACGCGCGTGTTCGTTGTTACTGAACGGATGTTTGTATTAGCTATCAATACCCGGATAGTTATCATCTACACCCGGATATTTTTACTGAATTTTTGTTTACGGACATACGGTGAAGCGCGGACACAGAGGCAATAACAAAACAGCGCTAGCGTTGCACAACTCTCAGCAAAAAGCCGAACATTGTTCACCTATTAACTTCGAGGAGTTTTTCAATAAAATATAGCCCGTAACGGGCATCAGGCGCGGTTGAGAATGCTAACAATGGAGCAAAACAAACGAGATGGCCAGCTATTATCTCACTATAACCTAGTTTTGCATGGTGAGCGGGAAAAGCGAAACGAGGCTAAATTGCCAGTGAGTTGTTTTATAAATGGTCCAAACTTGAGAAAAAACTATCAAAAGCGGCCGCTTTAGTTACTGTTGGGAGAGAGCGCTCTAGAGCCGTGCTAGCCATTCTGCAATCCATGTACGAACTGGCAGTATTGTTAACATTGTTCATAAACAATTACGATAGTTGTTTGCTTACCTTTAGCTCAATGTTTAAAGGTGGTTCGAAGTAAATCTGGAACAAAACAATAGTTAAATTACATTTTGTGATTTGACTTACGTCTAAGTTTAAAGTGGCGAGAAGGTACAATGAAGAGTGACAGCACAGGATATTACATCGCCCTCAACCATTCTTCATAAATCATTTAAGTAAGAGTCTTATACCAGTGTATTCAATCTTATATACTTTACATGCACTTTATATACTCTTATTCTATTGTTATTGTACAGAACTTGTATGTAGCGTAATTATTGTGTATACTTAAATAAAGTAATCAATATGCTTTAAATAATTCATTCATAGAGACAATTGCGCTTCAAATGATAGGTACGTGACATATGCACATATATAATGTGATTTATAATAAGTATGTAGTCTATTGTTGTGTATTGCGCAGTAGGAGCTGGTACTAGGTGGAAGTCCCAAAGGCGAGTAAAGCCACAACATCCGCCGAGGCCACGAGGTCGCCGAGGGATCACGGCACGCACTCTTCTAGCCCTCAATACTCCTTGTCGTCTTCACTTTTCCACGCAGTGAAGTGTTCAGAATAATAAACTGTGTGCAATTCTTTAGCCACTCGACAGTGTCGCGAGCAGGTCCATTGTGCTACGTCACTTGCGTCCGTGTTCAAGAGCTTCGGGTAGCTTTAATTGTTCCATTATTACCCTTTCAACTTCTGCTCTTAATTTTGTGCTGTTACATTTTCGCTGACTTCAGAATGTCTTTCCATTTTTAATAATTTAATATAACTAGCTGAAGCTGTAGCTATAGTCTTAATATAAAATACAAACTTTTCGTTTCGTTATAAAATTGCTAGGGTTTCAATCGTTAAATTAATTTAAAGTAATTCGAAAAAGTTTAGTTGATTGATTAAATAAACGGAAACCTTGCTACGAATACGAAGGCAGGACGGAACAGGAAAACACGCAAGATTTATTTTGTTTGATTAACTTGACGGAAAAGTTAGTTGTCGAACACGCCCATTAATTTCAATCGTATTATCGTGATCCTCTCTTTATGGTGCTGTCATATAAATAAAACTCCCAGCCCATTAGCTCCTGCGGCCGCTGGCATACGGCTGTACGATCACAGAGCAATATTACTAGGGAGCCTGCGTGTTACATCGGACCCCATCAATATCTGTCATCAGTCACCGAGTAGCCAAATAAAAATGTACGATCGACCTCCACCGATAGAGCATGACGCGCAGGATCCTGTTACGATCTCGCATTACATGAGATGACCTAATTCGATGAAATTATTCCCCGAGCTGCAGAGGAGTGTATGCCACCGTCCGATAATCATATTAGTCATGGTTATTTCTATTTTTACATAATCCAGGTACAGGTAGAAGATATTATGAAGAAAACAAAATTCAAGATCATACTAACGCGATGATGAACGTACGTGTCGAATGATCTGAGTACGATACTTATCTGTCGACAATAGTTTCAAAAACCATAACAAATCAGTACACAAACAGTTCTTTCTAGCGAAAGAAACCAAACCAGAAGCCAACATAAATAAAAGTATCTAGGTTTGTACTGTTTATTAAATAGAACTGTGTCAAGGATAAGCGGAATTTATTTCTCTAAAAACGTGGAACCAAAAAGCCAAGCTTTGTTGTAGCGCTGCTCTTGTTAGTACCTACAGGGCGATGCTGGTTACCTTTTAATTTATGTTGGCATTTCTTTGCCGATCGTTTTATGACCATCTTTCGTTGTTGATTATATAATTACTTTTTGAAAAATAAGTCTTTTTATGACTTTTTATTGTTCATTCTTTCATAAACTACGTTTTAAAAAACCAACTGCACTTTTTTGGAGCTGGTTAATTAATATACTAAAATTCTCTCTTCTTCTCATTGTGACATACACTTTTCTGAAAACCACATCAAAATCGGTTCAGCCAATCGCGAGATAATCGAAACATACATACTGTTCAAAACCTGTATATAATGAACCTCTTTTTTTCTTTTTGAAGTCGGTTAACATGTGGTTTATTGAATAATGTCTGTAATGCAAGTATTTTAACTAAATCAAGCTAAAGCTTGATTGCTCTAAACCACGTGGTATGATACTATATTTTGACCAAAGTTGATTAGATTAACAGGTTTAAAAAAACGTTTTCCTCAAGCTATACTCTCGAAATGTTGACTGGCAGTAGCTTGAGTAACTGCTTTATAAACTTTCTTTAGATGATTAAGAACAATCATGATACAAATGACATGATGATATTGCCTACTGGCCCCAAAACAAACCATTAAAAGTATAAATCGGTAAATAGATGAGCTGGCATGTAGCCAGCGATTATCGGACAGCTGCAATGATGCCGCGGGAGTAGTGCACATGGCCTGTATAATCTGTGTTGGTTCACTTTCATGTACCCTGCGCAGGCGCATGGTCTCATTATGAAAACGTTTATGACTCAGAACAGGGCCGCTATCTTACAGCTGTACTTACGATGATACAACAATAATGGACTGACAGTAAAATTATTTATTGAAATGGAAAATACTTTAAGTTTGCCAACTTACGTAGGTAGTGGTGGATTTTACCTTAATGTATTTAGCAACCCACATCAGGATACCTTTAAAAACCTTTGTTAACCTTTAGAAAATGATGTCAGCATAATTTCAAATAAAGCTCCTCCCACACAAATGGGTAAAGTAAATCTTTAGCAAATATAGTGTGACTTATTCACTCACTAAATGGCTGGGAGCAATATAAGGGAGCTCCTGCGATGTTCGTTTCTTTTCAATAAGCAAATGAAGGATGTAACATTATTTTTCATAGCGCATATGTTTAGTAGAAGGGTGGTTTTATGACGTTGATAACGTATGTTAACAAAAATTAAATCAACTGGCACGTGGCGAGGTAAGGGCCGGTCAATGACCTCACTTTGTAGGTAGGTACCGCTAATTACTTTCGCAGGGAAGACTGTAGCACGCAATTATTCATTTAAGTACAGCAAATGAACATTATCGATCATTTGCTAAATGTGATTTTGTTTTAAATAATTCGACAAGGATTTTAAATAGGTAATTGAATGTCTTTAATCGTATTGTGTGTTTTGGGGAAAACATTAACGAAATTGACGGTCTCTACAATCTATTTGTATACCACGAACCATTTTTTTCCTGTACAAATAACGAGGTAAAATGAATGCTTTCAAAGCGGTGTAGTCTATCATTGGATTGTAAACAGAAGCCATGTATTCATCGAGGCTCTAACCAGCTCGTCACGTGGCGGGGACGTGGTATCTACAGGTCCTGATTGTCCTCATCATAAAAACTTGTCACGTCTGCTCCCCCCCCCCTCCTCCTCACGCCCTCGGAGAAAGCCGCCCCGACAACAGCAACCTCGCCCCGGGGTGAGAAGCCCTCGTCTCGACCAATTTTCACCTAACCACAGGTACGTCTGGCAACTAACTGTATGTAATTACGAAATAAAACGTCTACCCAACAGTTAGAACACTTGAAACCAGATTTGATTTATCCACTTACCATATTTTTATTTTCTGTTGCATATTCATCTAGATAGCTTCAGTGAGGTGTATAATTTCTTGCAACGGATATTATCGGAATGTAGCAATAACTATTTTACTGCAGGAGCCGACGAATACAGAGAACTAATTGTAACCAACCGAGACGTAGAGAGAGACGTGAGCCGGTCGAGTTTATTTTTTTTTTGTGTACAGCGAGCAACGCCGCGGGCGAACCTAGTACCATATTATTAAGAGTTCGTACTACTACGCTTTCCATCGAACGTAGCAAAAATATCAATATGCTCAAAAAAAAGTCTTCTTTATGTTCGTTGAATTCGTTGCTACGCCATTTGACAGTAGCTGTCCAGCGTCGTAGCAGCGTAGCGTAGCGTCTTGTAATAAAATGCAATTATTGGGCGATACGTTGAATTGAACCATATTTGCAGTCCTCAGACCACTGTGTAATAATTTATTCTTCACTTTACTAGATTTCTTGTATTGCAAGCACGTTTCAGTGATCCGGAAAAGTTAAACTGGTTTATTTTTTATTTCACAGTATTCATCACGTTAGTTTCGCTTTTAACATGAATCATCTGTCAATGGCGCACATTAGAGTACAAAGCCAGTTGATTAGTTACCATAATATATCATGTAAATTATTTGCAATCGTGTTATTGAACTGTAACTCTTGAATAAGAAAAACAAGGGCGGTAAGGACACTAATAAATAACAAGTTCGTTTAAGACATCGCATCGCTAACATCTCTTTTGTGTGGCTTTAGCATAACACAATGCGATACGGCGAACATTTTATGAAGGAACGGTAAGTAATGTGATGGTTTCACACCTTCCTCGGCTTAAGCGGTATAACGCGGTTGACAAGCGTAGTAAATATGAGATAGAAGGTCGCTCTTGAACAGATGAAGTAATATGAGATAATTTAGAGCATTTTTGCCAACACTTTTAAGTAGCTATTACATAAATAAAAGAAACTGATATTAGAACATTTATCGCTCATAACAAGATATTTTTTCAGCCTGCCTAAAACAATTTATTTAAGAGTCTTTTGTTTGACGAGTCTCTTCAGCGTTAAAAATACAATAGTTTTTGTAATTGCCACTTCTTTACAGAACCCATTTCAAAGATATTACTAACATTAAAATTAAACAAGTGACATTACCATAACTCAGTCGACAATAAAGTTATGAATGAGCAAAACATTATGAATAAAGCAAAAGTTAAATAGAACGTGGAAATAAGTTACATCAAGAGAATTGTAGGTACACTTACGTAGATAAAATGGGACGCTACCGGGACCCGTGGATGCGACATTGTTGCCGCAGTACCGACCTCCAACCCTAAATGTATGACGCCCAAAGAGCCAGCCATATTATATGGCCGGCAACTTTGCGAAACAGCCGGGACAAATCGTGCTCAATTTATTGTTTTGATTTTCTCCGAAAAGACTTTGAAGATGTATTACGTACCTTTTTATTTCATATAAATCTTATGGTCTATAATAAACTTTTTTT